GTTCTGCCCAGTCCAGAATTCCCCATGGCATGCGTTTACTGTCTTTCATTGCTCGGCCTTCTCCTTCCCCTGCCTGAAGAGGACGAGTCTTCTTGTGTGCCTTGTTACGTACGTGCTCTCTGGGGCTGGCAAAAGCCGAAACGAGGAGACATTCTGACCAGAGGTAGTGTGACAATGAGAGCCGTGGACCAGCGTCTAATTTTCAGCTTTGAGTCTGGGTTTTTAGCCCAAGAGGAGGTTGACAGAGCATGTCTCACCTGAGATCACTCTTGTTTCCCAGGTGGATGATGAGACACTTGGAGAACGCGCTTCTTCGGCACCCGGGCCCTTCGTTCCTTGATCAGCAGGGGGCTAACAAGAAGCAAGATGGGTTTGTGGAACCGCAGGATCTTCCTCATTTGATGAGGAGGCCCGCCCTATTGGCAGGGAAGAGAGGGGAGGATAAAAGCTCCAAATGGACAGTAGGATTTTTTTTCTTTTTTTTCCCCCTTTTTTCTTTTTTATTTTCTGGTATGATCTGCATCATATTCTCCCTCCTGCACTCCCAGAGCTTTCTTCTCAGCTGCAGCCAGAGTCATTCAAAGAGTGCCTAATGCTGCATCGTGTGTAGCCCTGCTGCTTCTTCACTTGCAGCTCAGCTTCCTGAAGCACTGCAACACATCGGGAGTAGAGCCTCGTCATGCTCAAATTCTGAAAAACAAAGATATAACCCAGAAAGTCTGCCTGGTTCGTTCTTAGTGCTGCCCTTTGAGTTGGAGACAGCCCAACCAGAACGGTTCATTCCTGAGCACTGGAACAACTATGCTAGAGTTCACAAGGAACATTTAAAGGAGAAAAATGGAGAGGCATCCTTAGGTACGTAAGTGAAAAGAAAGAGAGAGAGATTGGGGAAGATGTTTAATGCATGCGCTGCTGTTTGTTTCCAATAGGAAACTGGAAAGCAGAGAGTAGGAATGAAAACACATGCTGGCCTCCATGCCACCCGCTGTGGCCTCCGTGCGCACAGGGTGGGGGCCCTGTCGGGCTTACGTGCAGCCCTCAAGGGCCTCCATGTGCACTGGGGTGGGGGGGGCCTGTTCGGCCCCCTGGAGTCTTTCTGCGCATGGGGCTGTGGGGCCCCATGGGCTTTCATGCATCCCGCCAGGGCCTCCTTGTCCATGCCTCCCGGGGAGCCCTGCTGGCCTTTACATGGCCCCATGGGGCCTCCGTGCGCAGGGGGGGCCCTACAGCCCTTTGTGAGTCCCCCCCTCCGTGCCTCCATGCGCCTGAGATCGCGCAGGACGTACCGACCCCCTGGGGCCTCCGTGCACATGGGCCCTGGGGGCCTTTGTGCACCCTCCCCGGGTCCTCCCTTCGCACGGGGACGTGGGTCCCTCCCAGCCTCAGTGCGACCCATCAGCGTCTCCTTGGGCATGGGGCCAGGTGGTCCCTATGGGCCTTTGTGCATCCCCTGGGTCCTGCATGCGCATGGGGCAGGGATGTCCTATGGGCCTAAGTGGGGCCCCCCGGGTACTGTGCACTGGGACGGGGAGACCCTCCTGGCCTCTGTGCGGCCTCCCGTGGCCTCCATGGGCATGAGCCCGGGGTGGCACTATGGGCCTCAGTGCGGCCCCACAGGACCTCCATGCAAACGGGGACGGGTCAGCGCTACGGGACTTTATACGACCCTCCCACCTCCTCCGTGCGCATGGGGCTGGAGGGGCCCTATTGGCCTTCGTGCCACCTCCAGGGACCACCCCAGCACGGGGCTGGGGGGCCCGGCTGGGGGTCCCTAGAGTCCTTCGTGCAGCAACCTGTGCCCTCCGTGCGCATGGGGCTGGGGGGCTGGGGTCTGTTAAAGATTGATGCAAAGATGGCATTAAGCACCTCGGCTTTATCCTCATCCTTGGTGACAATGTTCCCCATCGCATCCAATAAAGGCTGGAGATTCTCCTTGGCCTTCCTTTTCTTGTTAATGCCTTTGTAGAAATGTTTTTTGTTCTCTTTTGCAACAGCGGCCAGACTGAGTTCCAGACAAGCTTCCGCCTTTCTAAGTTCTTCTCTACATGCCCTAGTGACATCCCTGTACTCTGGTACCCAAGGTACTTACACTGACTTCTCATATTGGAGTTATTTATCACCACGGGGTTACAGACTGCCATGTTTACAAAGCTTCCCCCTGCCTTGTCTGCTCTCATTCCTGACAGCGTAGAGAGAAGGAGAAAAAAGCAAGCTGATCTTTCCACAAAGCCTCTTATAAAAATGGCCTTTCAGGTCTGCTGAATCATTCACAGGAAGTTATTTTGACCTGGCCACCTCCTTGCGGAACCTCCCGTCCTGGATTTGCCCCGGAGCGCGTCCGCTGGAGAGGAGCTGGAGTCGCAGTCCATGTCTGCTGAGGATATGTCCGCAGGGCGCCTCACTTCAGCAAGGAAAGCCCTAATTCCTCCCAAACCACTTCTGCCAGCAGCGCCGGGATGCCCCCACGTCATCACCTTTGCCACTTCTCCTCAGCGTCAGAGGTGAGCGTAGCCCAGGGCCTGGCTGGGGGTGGAGAGCGTCCTGGCACAGTCCTTGGCTTTTTGATTCCTCCTTACAGGAGCGAGCTGGAGCAAAGCTTTTTCCCGCGGGATGCTGGCTGCTTTGCCTTGGCAGGATTAGAAATGCTCCTCTGTGAGAAAAGATTCTTGGCAAGCCTGGAGGCCATAAACGTTAAAGAGATGGAGCAATCACTTGGCTGCGTCGCTGCTGCTGGCTCTGCCATCTAGCAGTGCTGGAAGTCCCCTCGTCTCACTTGATCTCACACAGCCTTCTCTGTAACTCTGCGGGCCCTAGACCGAGTTATCCAGCCTGGACACAGCACTTTTAACAGAAGAATTTTATTACCTTGTGCTTAAAAACGCAATACAGAAAATACATAATGCACTCAACACACAAATGTATCAGAGCTCATAACATCCACTGCTCTCTGGAGCAGATTAAAGCTTAAATGCTGTGAATTGATAGTATTTACAGGCTCCGTGTTTCTGAGCCTGTTGCCTACAAGCAGCAAACAGCTACATTCACCGTGTGCTTTTCCAATATCCAGTGCACAGCACAGTGCCCCCTGCACTGGGTGCCAGCGGGCCCGTAGCAGCTGGAATCTCCATCCTACAGCCACCGGCTCTGTAGCGGGGCAGCTTCATTGCTGCACCACCGCTGGGGCCTTTGCTCACATCTGTTTTGCTTTGATGGAAGAAAACCCCTGGAAAACCACTGTCTGTTCCCTTTGCTATGCTATCCAGAGGGACCATAGTTTTACCTGTCCCCGCTCGTCAGAAGAGGATGCTGCCTGCATCGGCATCACTGCCAAACTTTGCTACAAAAATAACATTTCTCATATTTAATACAAAAATAATGCTATAGCAATGTTCCCTAAACTGCAAGGCCACAACTTCCCAGCTGGGGGAGTAATCGGAGACCAAGCGCTGTTGCAGTCCGTCGTTTCCACGCTGAGAACTGGGAGGATTCCCTGAAGGTGGTATCTGCCGGACCCAAACCTTTCCCTAGCTATGCTTTACAGCTGGTTCTTTGCCTTGAGCATCTTGTTGATTTTATATATATACATATGTATATATAAAGCTGTCCTATCTATATAGCTTTCTTGTTCTACATGAATATTTACACTCTGAGATGTGATCAGCTGAAGTCAATCACTGCAGGATGAGATCCCCTCTTTACATGCTGAGGCAAAATTCGTAGTGTGGTAATCAGGACTGAATGTTACATAAGGGCCTTCAGGCACTGGCCCCAGGTAGAAGATGGGGCTTACAGCTGTGTCTAGATGTGTGAAAATTAGAAACAAACCAGGTTTAAAAATAGCACTGTTCGTGTTTCAGTGTTTTAATAGCCCCATGATCGATGCTCTGCAAAAAAAGCTAAAATGAGACCAAAGTGTAGGACCATGAACGGACTTTTTATGCCTTCTTTTGGATCAGGAAAAGTGCCCATTTCCAGAGACAGAATATGGCACGGAAAGGAAGATAAGTGCTGCAGTGGGATAATTCCTGCATTGCAAATCCAGAACTGCATTTCGCAACTCCAGTAATGTATTTCCTGACTTTTGTGCTTGCTAAACAGCAAAACAGCAAAAAACCCTCCAGCAGTAGCAAAGTTATTGGGGCTCCTCGGATTTCTCTGCAGAGTTCTCTGGTTTACAACAGTTCTGCTTCCACATGGGGTTATTCAGCTCACCCTCGTTACCTGCCTGGTGCCGGGCACGGCTGGCCAGGGGGTACCTCTGCTGGGAGAAGCAGGTGCCCGGATTCACCAAAACCAGGTGTCATCTACATCCATAAATGCAGCTGCCCCCAGCCATTCTGGGGACCAGAAGTCTAGTTTTGAGCAGGAGATAACCTGTGCGCTGCCAGCATCTCTGAGACTAAAACCTCTAGCTTCAATCTTCAGCTCCCTATCTATGTAGGCAAATTAGATTCAGTTTCAATCTCCTTCGCCTGAAAAGTTGGGCTCCAGCAGGAGTGAGTGGGGTATTTAGTCAGGCCTGGAGAGCCAGCACCCCCCGACTGACAACCTCCATTGTGGTCTGACACAGAAGTGACCCAAAGTGCAAAAATCCGTGTTTTGTCATTAAGATTGCTCAGTGTGGCAGAGCGCTCTGCCCGAGGCTGCTGGGGTGGGCGAGTGGTTCCTCACCTGGGCTGTGAGGAAAGACAGAAAAATTCCCAGCACCAGTGTGGAAACTCGCCATGACTCATCAGCTGGCAAAAACCATCCAAGCAGCTCTAGAACAGCAGTGTACTTCATACATAACCAGTACCAGAAAGAAAAGAGCTTATCATTTATTCCCCATAAACCCCAAGTGGTTTGGTTAATGGCAACTTAGAGGTTTTTTCTTTTAGGCACTCTGCTCTGAAAAGAAAAAAAAACCCCAAACCACAAAACCACTTTGGTATTTGCATTCCCTGCTTTGCTTTGCACTTGTCATCAGACCAGCTTGCACGTAGCTTTCCTGCACAGCGCGAAGGAGCTCTACAACCCCCGTCCATGCCAGGAAGCCATCAGGTCACTTACACTGGATAGATGCTGGCTTGAGATCTCTCCTGACAGTACAGCAAGCCCTGTACCATTTCCATTGGCACTGCTGCTTTCTTGGGTCCAAACTTTTTATACAGCCACACAGCAGCAGTGCTGCAAGCAATCATACCACCTGCCAGGCAAGCTGAGATGACAAAGGGCATTTGGGATCTCGGCAGGAGGCTGGGAAAAGGTCGAGCATTTGTTTTTTCTGTGGTCAACCATGCTCTGGCTTGGCCTGAGAACGCTTGACTGGTAAAAGTTGGTGTATCTGGAACAGCCTGCTTTCCTGATGAATGTTCAGGGGTTCTAGTATCAAACGCATCTGTCCAGGAATGGAAAACCTTGTTGGGGGGGTCAGAATGACCTTCGTTTTTGACAGCTGTGGAGTTTAAAGAAGAAACTGAAG